TAATGCATGTGTTGTCTACCTCTATGAAATCGAATTTAATAGATAAACCCAAACCATTACTTAATTGTTGCTTTAGTAATTTAGTAAAACTCTAAACATGTTCTAACTCAAACATAGACTAATTCAGTCACAGTCACAATGATAGCCTTAGATAACATATTGTGTCCTTTGTCTATTGAGTGTGTTTTCATTTTGCGACATTTGTTGTCACAGTTACATTCCTATTCGTTTATGACAGGTATACACAAATCAGTACTTGTAGATTCATTTACCAAGACAATACTTGCGTCAGTGTGTTCGTTTTTCATGCTGTTGCACTTAAAAACACCGACGATGTTGTGTATGAAATCTTTTTGTCAAAATGATTGAAACGTAATTATTGGAAATATATTTTGCTGGATTAGGGGCCAGTAGAAGCAAATGAAACTAAGATTATTCTTCCTGGTTATTTGGCTGTATACGTAATTATCAATAGTGAGACTAAATCACTTACCTGCCAAGACTTGAAGCGTGGTTCACTGGCGTGTTGCTTTTTGGCATAGTTTCCAACGCTATACGATTTTAAATATGTCATTATCATGGCTTTATCAACTATTATAAAAACGAGTGAAAGTCCGCCGATTAAAATAATTGCAGGTAATTTAGGAAATTGCGCCATACTAGTAGTATAGTGTATAACTTCGCTCTATAGAAACACTGTATTATGTGTTAAAAATATAAATTATAGACAAGTAACGCAGATGTGACATGATCATTTGCGAATATAAGCTGTTAGGCACGAACCGGAAAATATGTGTCTCATGATACAAATAAATTATATAAAATATCATGTTTATTTATTCCCACATTTGTATTTGACCATTTCTGTACAAGTCTCAATGTTGAAAATTGCTCTTCAATGTGTGGGTGTTTTTTTTTTTTGCTGGTCGTTATTGGGTGACGATGTTGTCATGGCGACAGAGTATTTCATCTTTTGTATTGTTGTATTACAGTTTTAATGACTTCTATATAAACCAGTTGTTTCTCATTACACTAATATTTTTCAATATTATTGAAGTGAAGCAAAGATTAACAACGTCCGAGAAGATATACCAACTACTAGTATTACGGTGCTATATTTAAACCCAAACATACACTGGGCTACCCACGTAACAAATCTTGGTGTAACTTTGGTGTACAGCACGTCTGTCGTGTTTAATAGCTGACTAATTGGTTGATGCTTTCAATTCCTAATAAGGTAGGAAACATATATCCAGTGTAGTACTAAAGAATTACGACATGATGTAACTCATGGCGATCCTACAAATGTGTGATAATATATCGTTTTCCAATGCTAGTCCGGGAAACATTTACTGTAGAATTTGATAACACTTGATATATTAATCATTGAAATGTATTTAAGAAATTCAAATTTAAGAAATACTGCCAAATGTTTTCACCATCATGATTTAGACATTTGGGTAGGTTTTAACAATGTGTCTGTAATTAATTTCGAATGTATTCAAATAAAACTGTTTTTACCGCAAATATCTTACTATTTCATAAGGATGAGGGAAGTACACAACATCCTACTGCAAAAGATATCAATATTGCAGTTTTGATAATTAGTGGTTTTCTAAAATGAGGTGTCACAATGTTTATGTGTGTGTGCTAGCTAATCAACAGAAGAATGATCATCTTCCTAGCGATATTCATTAAAAACAACAAGTAGTAAATCACACATGATTGTCATATTTGGCGAATGTATTTTTGATTATGAAAACAAGCAGCTTCTCGGCTGAGATAGCTCCGCCGTTAGCAATGCACATTTCAAATACAAATCTGAGACTGGTCTACCTGATGCACCTATGTGTATAATATCAAAGCAATCGGACTTACGGTTTTGAACAAGAAGTCGAAAATATTACTTTTTACCAGAAATATTCATCGAAATTAGAGAATTAAAGAAAATTGAATGATTCCGTGAGAGGTCTGTCCAAGGTACATATACACCAAGTATCAAAGCTATCAGGCGTGTAGTTTCAACAAAAAAAGGTAAAAAAGTCAAAAGTTGATGCGGGCGACGACGACGCGCGCCGACGGGCGACGGACAATCACTCATATGATTAGCTCTGGTCGACAGCGGATCTAAAAAAAAAAACGGTACATCAATTGACATATAGCACTTTCCACAAAGTGTTGCCCAAAATATCACCAAACCTCTTCATTAAATAAACCATCAGATTTTTATCTGAAGGTATTTGCACGACACTTTTTTTTATTCAATGGAAAATCGACTACAAAAATATTGATCATAAACTACCATAGGTAATGAATATAATCTACTCATTTTGTATCTGTTAAGCCATTCCGAGTCTTTCCTATCTTCTTTCAACTTCTGTTCGTTCTCCAATTTCTGAAAATCGATATGTATCGCCACTTGATTTGTGTGAAGTTATTGAAAATCTTTCTTTCTGCTTTGATTACTTTCGTTACTATGTGTATGCGCGTGATCACATTGGATGTACTATAATGCCTGTCTTGTCAAGTGTTAATGATTTGGTTGTCATGTCTGTGCCAAATTTTCTGTAAGTAGGGCACAAAAACACATCGAACAAAAATAAATCTAGTACGTGAATGGGACTGACCTGTTTAAATTACAGCCACGACATAAACTGTTTTGATTACTGGTTCATCAGGCCATATCAACATTGGACTTGTAGTATTTTATGACTAGCCAAAACACCAAAGTCAAACGCACAGCACGACGTAAGGTAATACTATCATAATAATATTTAGCTGACATTGTTTAGCCCCATTTGTAATGCTAAAGGTCAAAGAAGGTTGAGTTGGCGGTGTATTAAGCATCATATGACATTATTCAAGTAATACATCTGTCAAATGTTGTTGTTATACCAGCTAAACAATATAATTACCCAATGAACTAACGGTCATGGTTATCCGTGTTCTTATTTTTAGTGTTTAATATAATGATCTGCATTGACTTGAATTGCGGATCTCTCGTCAGTTATATTTTCCAATCATTACTCTATAAGTTGTCAAACACATTAGTATAAACCAAGTCAGAGGAGCAATAACTTATTTAATTCGTCATTTCAAATTTAAGATGCAATCTCCAATGTTTTTAGTGGATCTACTACATGCATATGTCAGGCGATATAGATTAAATTAGTGGGAAAGCAGTTACTAAGCCAGATGTGACATTTTCATAAATTGTTCTGCACGACAGTTATAATTATACAATGATATTCTAATAATGAAAGAATTCTAACAATTCATTTATAGCGTGGCGTACGAAACAAAGACGGCCGAACCACGAGCTGAGCCACTCTACATAAACACTGATTAGTAAATCAAGCACGTTGCCGTGGCGAATTACGGAAATTGGGAAATTAGGGGAGCAGGTCCTGTAATAGATCGCCAAATATTGACTATTTGGCCTAGTGAGCATTTAGAATAAAGTCCAGTACATAACGTGGAAATTCACCTGTGGAAATATTAAGACGGCTAAACTAATCGCTCATTTACAAAGTAATGTCACTTATGATAAATACGTCGTATTCTCCAAACATGAAAGAATAGATAATTTTTTGTTTGCAAATGTAATTTATGGACGTATCAATGGTGGTCAATTGCAAAAAAGATAAACATCTTATATTACATGCCATGTAATGTGGTTGTTAACCAAGTAGGCCAATGTGACATTACACTCTGTCAATACATAGATGAAAATCTCCTCCTTCATAGGGGAGTACATTTTACTGATAATACTACCATTTCCTTTGGATTAGATAACAAACGATTGATGAGAATATATTGTGATAAATGTTATCTATGATTTAGCTATCATGATACAGGTTTGTAATTCGTGATTTTCATCTATGTAACTGTGATTTGTGGAAATAATTGAATTAAATTAATAATGTCCATGGCACTATGTTGAACAGATTCAGACTGGTCTTTTCATTATCACACGTGAACAAATAAAACTGAACCCACATGTTACAATTGCAATTGTGTATTGAAAAAACTTGAAATTAGTTTGGGTAAGGATTTAGATTCCAATGGAAGGATGTATACATGTACTGTAGTTGGCGATGTTCAATATCATTGATCGAATATTAGAGTTTTTATAAGACACTCCTATGAGTTGTATTATCAATATCATATTTGTTATTACATGGAATGGTACAGGGCAAACCTAAAATTTAAGGTAATCAGTATGATTGGAGCACAGCCAGAATCAAGAAGTCAGAATTAGACAAGACTGCATGCAGTGGAAAGAACTTGGAATCCTAAACTTTTTGAGGGGAAAGCTACTAGGAAATTATTACTTACATACTAGCAAGGGACTCTATTAACAATATACATTTGTTTTTGTATCTAACCAGAGGACTATTGGACAGAACATAAACCATCCGACAAATAAAGGGTCTTGGATCTCCCCAATTAGGCTCTCACAGGTACTCTTTTACAGCTTTTCTTCATAGTGTTGCTTTTATAATTTTATAGTTAGTGCAAGTGTTTAATGTTTTTTATTCATTTTTTCCCTGGCTTTTGTTTTGAAATAAAGTGTGCTGTTTCTCTTCTATTTCTGTTGTGGAGTGGTCTGCATTCACAAAATATCAAATAGTTGTGTTTTTTGCAGTAAAAACAAATATTTATTAGTTTATGAAAGTAATGCTTTAACATGGCTTCTTATTGGAAAACGTCTTTAAAGAATGCTCAATAAATGGCAATGAATTGTACAGTGCAAGTACATGTAATAGGCTATAGTCACACATTATTATACAGTTTATATTTTGGTATTATAAGCAGTTTGTTAAAATATACACGAAGCTCAAAATACATGTAAGTGCATATATTGTGAAGTATATGTTAATATATAAAAGTCATAAAAAGACCAATTTGGCTATATATGATTATAAAATAAAACTTGATGATTGTACAATTATTGAGTATTGTTGTCAGAGTTGGTCAATTTATGTACTGTAACATACTCAAAATAAGTCACCTTCCTCTTGCATGATTTCAATGAAATGTTTTCCTTCATCTCCTAGATGGTGAAGTAGCTTACACACTGCTTTCCTGAAAATCAACATAAATATCTTAACCCACATGTGAAATATAGAGTGGCCTATTTTGACTACAGCACATTTGAAAAAACTAACTGTATTTTCTTATTATCAAATGACTGAAAACTTAGCCATCCAAATATATACCAGTTACCAGATTGGAACATCAGAGTAGATGTACTAGTTACAATTAACTAAATGAAGCTAAGATACAAGTTACAATGCAATGACTGAAAATGTTGATATAAGAACAGTTACATGTAGGCATCTGTTACAATTAACTGACTGAATATTGAAATGTCAGTAGATGCACCAATAACAATCAACATCCCACGATCTGATTATACTAAATACTGATTGAATCAAACGCGATATCATCACAATGAAAGCCACAATTTTGGGCACCATTCATACCTGCGTGCTTTGTCAGTTCCAACACCACGTTTTCTTTCCACGTTGTAAACTTCATCTAATAGTTTGGGCATGACATCTATCACTAGACTCCTGTACAACACAGCCACTGCTTCCATTACATGTAATACTGATATGTAAGATGTTCCAAAGTGTCTGCTGATGAAAACTTGCAACTCAGTCTGCAAAGTCACTCTGTATGCAAGATATGTTTAATAAACTTAGGTCACAAATTTGTTTTGGTAGTATACAGTAATAAACAGGACCAGTTAGTTTGTGTGCTGTTTCCATGTTTGTTTTTGTTAACTGTTTAGAGCATCTAACCATTTACAATCAACAGAGATGGAAAGTTCTAGTTTATAAACGAGTTCCTCACCTGGCACCAGAACTACTATCATGTACTTGTTGAAATGCAGTCAACATGGCTTGAAGTACTCCTACAGCTAGTTTCTTCACAGCGGTGACAGCAGAGCTATCACAAACTAATAGAATATCCAATAAGGCACTAAACAACACAAATGTGTTCCTGAGGAGAGGAAAAAATGCTATATATTATTGTTCTATGTATGTAATGTATTATGTTCAATATAAGTAATGAATTATGTTCGATGTATGTAATGTATTGTGTTCAATGTATGTATTGTATTATGTTC